CAGCCCGGAAGACCCACACCAGCCATTGTATGCCGGCCGTGAAAGCCTTCGACAATACACTTGTTCTGTAGTTTACTGAAGAGGGGGAGGTAACTCAAGAAGGCCTGCAACATCTGGGCAGTGACAATTCCAGAGGAAAAACTGAGGTTTTCTTCAGTGTATTTTTATAAAAAGAAAAGAGAATAAATAATATTACTCCGAGATTTGAGCTGAAAGCTGTCAAATGAGATATTACTAAAAAAACTAAAAGATCTTTTTCAGAGTTTGCAGAAGTGTCCCTTGGAAGGCATATTGGATACTTGCTTTGTTGATAACTGAATGCTCGATGTCAACTGCCTCTCTTCCAGCCAGAAAAATAAAAGAAATTATGTGCCTGTGTCTTGTGCTGACTCAGTGTTTTATAAACTTATCTGGTTCTAACACGGTTTCAATTTGAATCCATTGTTAGAGTTAGGGTTGTTTTATACTGTACAGAGTGAAAGGAAAACAAGGACTGAAAGCATACATGCTATGATAGAGGTGCTGTGTCTGTGAGAGCAGAAGATAGTTGTTGCTCTCTTATTTATGGTTACTGCTCATTGTCTTTCTTTCATCTTCTCAGTTTCTCAGTTCTTGATAATTGATAATTCTGTTATCAATTGCTGCTTTACAGAACCCAGCATTCCCATTACTTTTTAAGATCTCAGGAAAATATATTAATATGACCTCAGGAAAATATATTAACATAATGACATAAAAATAAGACACTGAGTTATAAGTTTGTGTTGCAATATCTTGAATCCATGCAGTTCTGTTCTTAAAAATCCATGTTTGCATGTAGGTTGACAATTCAAGTAGACGTTGTTTTGGAACTTTAGATTCAACAACAAATTACTATTTATTTTACATTAAATGGCAAGTTTTTTTCCCCCTTAAAAAACATAGTATCTTAGTCTGCTTCCAGTCAGAATGCTCCTGACATACAAAACCTTTGCTTTTCCCACAGAGTGATTTTTGTTTTTACTCCAACCATACTAATAGTTACTTTTAACCACATGATGAGGAAGGGACAGATTATTTTCATCCTTCCATAATGTATTTGTGATTCAGATTAAGTTCTGCTAGGAAACTGGGTCTTGTATTATTTGTGCTTCCTTTTTCCTTTTTAACCTGGCTCCATTTACATGCTTTCATATGCATGGTTCCGATATTAAAAATGAGCTAGAAAACAAAACTGCAGTTCAGAACTGTTGTACAAGTAGTCCTTAGGTTAAGAACGCCCAATTTAAGGATGACCCATAGTTAAGAAAGGAGCCTATGGTAGCAACATTCAAGTTACATACACAATGGTCCGAGTTAATTGCACAATATTACTTATACAGTGTTATACAATAATACTGTTCTGGCTTACATACAAATTCGACTTAAGGAGAGACCTTGGGAATGGAATTTGTTCTTAAACTGGGGACTATCTGTATTTCAATATGTAAAAAAAGAGTACTAGTACTTCCTGCTGCATTAGAGGTTCAAAATAGAGTACTTACTTCTTCATTTCTCTAGCATTTTCTCTAAAAGTAGCAAGAGATCGAACTGTTCTTTCTGTTTTCTGTACTTTCTAGTAGGCTAGTTAGGAATCATCCACATTTGTATGAAACCTCATCCTGCAGTTAACATGTTTTGGGGCTGAGTTGTTGTAGTGTTGTAGTTTGTCTCCAGAGACCAAAGCCATAAGCTATTCTTTTATTGTATTTGCACAGCCTGAAATTGTATTTAGGTAGAACCATAATGGAAAGGTGAACCAGAGCAAGATGGAGGTTCCTTTAGTTTGGATTTGTCCAACCTGGCATCTCCAGATTGTATAAACGTTGATTTCCTTATAGCAAGTGATGTCTCAAGGGGGGTGGGGTGGGGGCTCCACAGCATCTCTTGATCTTAAACTGTTTGATGGGGTAAGCTTTTTAAATACATAGTGGAAATGGAAGGAAACTCCTCCTAGGGACCAGAAAATACTGTGAGCTGATTTTTATTTCTGTTGAAATCTCTCATGGTGGTTTGTTGGCTAAGATTTTGATGCTGCTATGCAGGGCTTTTGTGTGCAAATCCTATCAATAGAAATTAACTACCTACTTCTGAGTATATCTAGTTTCTATTGATGTTGGAATACGTATGTGTAATCCTTGCAATTTGTACTTTGTTTCAAAGGATTTATGCCTTTACTGGGTAACTTTTCAGTTTCTAGTACCTGTCTCATTTTTTTTTAGGCGGGGGCCAAACGATGGAGGATTCAGCCATTTTTCAAGCCTCCATGAATATTTGTTTAGGAGGGGAGTTACCTTCAGTAGAAGAGAGGAGGAGTGCAAAACTGGAGCTGAAGGTACCTTCAGTTGGTTGTCCTTTGCCTCCTCTGTTCCATAAGAACTTTTCTTTCTTTAGGTGTAAATGAGCTCTGTTTTGTCCCAAATCTCTGATAGAAAGCTGGCCAGCATTGTATTGCAAGTTTATTTTAATTTTTTGGACATTGGAAGGATTTCTGCATTTGACATGAATTACATAAAGAGATTGCCACAACCTCATAGCTTTGTTATTTTGTTATTTTGTGCAAAATTTATGAGACTTGCAGATTAAAGTGACCAGAACCCATTATTAGAGGAAAGATGAAACCCATTATCTTAGAGGAAGGATGAAAATTATTCATTATTAATTTGTATTTCTTAGCTTTATTGTAGCAATGATTTTGAAAACTAAAACATTTCTTATAGTTTAAATTTCATACTAATATTGGCAGCTCTTAACATGCCTTTTCATGTACACAGATGCAGACTAAACAGTGAAGAACTGGGATTGCTCAATTGTTGGATTTAAGCTTTACAGAATGCCCATAGAGAATTCTTGAATATGTGATCTATACACAATAAAGTGTATAGAACCTGCTGATAGAATCTAGGTGTGCAAAAAGCACATGTAAGCACCTATTCATATATTTAATTAAAATATGAACATTTTGTGGGAGAAAAATTGATGGGTAGAATTCTGATATTGCACCACTAATAAGGATGTTTAAAACATATTTTAATCTCTAATTGTTTTGCAATCAATCTAATGTATAGAGTGAACATCTACATGAGATATTGATAATAGCACAAACGTATCTGTTAGCTAAATCCTGTAAATGAAATTGACTTTTTCCTTGCCTCTGCTGCTTGTTAATATGTGAAAGAGAGCCTCTTGTTCCAGACTAGTGAACTACATAATATAGGGAACTAATTTAATATTTCTAAAACTTTTAAATAATATTTAAGTGAAATTGTTATGTATTTTCCACTTTTAAGCTAAAATTATTTTAAATATTTTATATTTTAATAGGGAGAATCACCACTTGATTTAGCAAAGCAAAGAAAAAATGTTTGGATGATAAATCATCTACAGGAGGCAAGGCAAGCAAAAGGTTATGACAATCCATCTTTTCTCAGGAAGCTGAGGGCTGATAAGGTGAGAATAATATTTAATAAAATGATAAACTTTGAGTCTTGTTGACATGTAATTTTTTGAGATGATGTCAAGAGGTACTTAGAATTTTGTGCTTTTGCTTCTTTTAAATTAATTGACTTTTTAAAAAATTACTTTTCCTACTGTGATGAAGTGACTGACCGTACCTAGGCCTCATATACTTTACTGAACATAGATCTTCTTTGATCTTTTTTAATTACAGGTACTGTGAAGTATTTGAACAAAAATTATACTTTTCCACTAGCTCATTTAAAAAATAGAATAATAAATATTTGCTATTTTTTGTAGGAATTCCGTCAGAAGGTGATGCTAGGAACACCTTTCCTAGTTATTTGGCTGGTTGGATTTATAGCAGATCTTGATATTGATTCTTGGCTAATCAAAGGACTAATGTATGGTGGTGTTTGGGCTATGGTTCAGTTTCTTTCCAAGTAGGTACCCAAAAATGTTACTTTGTTTATTATGTAATATATTGTCAGATACATTAAGGTGCTTCTTTTGAAAGGTATTAGTTTTATCTAGTTTCATTCTTTCATTATACATTAATATTAGTGTAACATTCACAGATAGTGAAACATGGAGATATTAGATGTCTTATGTAAGGAAATATGTTGTGATGTCCTTATATCCTGAGTTCTTGATATTTGGTCATGTTCGATGCTAGATGAAAGTAGCATTCATAATGTAGCTGTCAATGGAAAATAACTTTACCAGTTCAATCAACATATCAATCATTATTTCACTTTGTAGTATGAGAGTGAAGAAATTAATCTTTCATAACTTTTATATGATTTTCTGTTAGCCATAAATGTTGAAGTTTCTTTATTAATGAATAAACACACTTTCTGTAGCAGTGGACAATATTTTTCACTTATTTCCATAATGAAATGTTTTATTGTAAATCTTATTTCCTTTAAAATGCTATCTTAAAATTTTAAGAGTGGACAAAACCTGGATTGCTTTTATCCATATAATTTTAGTGGCAAAAACAAATGCATTCAATTTATTGCCAGTATAAGAAATATAATCCATGTCAGATTAGTATTTTAAACATTGGGCTCTATTGTGTAAAAGTAAAAAATTGTATTACTACAGCTTAATCTCTTGGTTTAACTTTTACTTAAAGTCAGTTAAATATCTGTCATTTTTGAGTTTGGCTGAGCGGGGTTTTAAAATAAATTTCACTCTCGGACTTTAGAATAAACAATTTTAGAGCTCTGTTTATTATTAGCAAAGAAAAATTTTATACTACCTGTATGCAGATGAGTTTAAATTAAAGGAAGTATAGTCTTTCCCTCAATTACCATTGAACATATGTGAGATGTACGTGTACGTGAATGATTGTTTTATAATTGGAGAGTAACAAAAATAGGGGTGGAGTCTATAGATGAAAATGCGGGAGCAATGGCAGTGTTGTTTTTTTTCCCTGTTTTTTACTTGCCACGTTGTAAATATTCTGTACATTAAGGGCAAGCAGTATATCCCTGTTCAAGCTTTACAAAAGGATTAAAACGATTAAAATCTATTGGAGAGCAGTGGGCATAAGCTCCTTTCCTTTCAAATCCAACTGGCTGTGGCTATCCTTTTTGAAAGTACCCATAGTACGTCTTTGAAGATTTCAGCCCAACTTAGGGGGGATGGGATTCATCCCTGCTACCCAAGTGGGAACACTTTTTTGTAATATCTGAAGAGAACTTCACATTCTCTGTTCTTTCTTTTCCTGTATAGTTCTCTCTTCTCAGTGTTCTTCTTCCTCTTTCTTTTTCATTGATTGTGCTAGAAAGAGGGAGTGTGTGAGAATTTTTTGTGTGTATGCAGATTGACATAACATTTATAAGCATTACTGGACAAATGTTGTTTAAAAATTTGCTAGTGTTGTTGTATTTGCTGGACAATGCATCTTAACTGTATTATTCACTGTTAATTCCCAGCAACAGTCATGGTGAATTCCAGTTTTGAAATTCAGTTACCTCAATGAAAATAATACATCCAGGAAAAAGAGAACAATAGAGGAAATTGACCCAAATAGAGTACATAAATGCCAGACAAAAGGGTGCTTATTCAAGTGGCCATATAATTTATAGTAAGGGTCACTGGGGATGAAAAGGATAAAATTCAAAGGAAAAGCAGTCTGGTCAGCCTCAGTGTTTATGTACATTTAAAAAATAAACTGGATAAAATCTTTTGATGGAAATAATGCTTAATTGGCTTAACTGATACTTCATATGAGGACTGCAGGCTGAACAGATGCAATTTCTGAATCAGTCACTTGGGAACCTGGCAGGCGTTTATCGAATGATGTTATACATCTTTTCCAGTAATGTTAAACTGATCTATTATTTTAGCCTATAACTTTTTAAACAGATTAAACTATATTCAGCAAGCAAGGATATGTAGCATATATACTAATCAATTATGTGATGTTGTTTCTCTGTTCCACAGATCATTCTTTGATCACTCCATGCATAGTGCTCTCCCTCTTGGAATCTACCTAGCAACAAAATTCTGGATGTATGTGACATGGTTTTTCTGGTTTTGGAATGATATCCTTTCTCTCGATCTCAACATTTATGCCAGGAAGACAGTTTGAGTATATAGAAGGGAATAGTGCAGCCTTTCTTTACAATATACAGCTGAAGTAGCAATGGTTAAAAACTATAGAATCATTGGTCTAATGAAGTTTACCTGGTTTATGGCAAAATGAAATTTGTCCAGGGTTGTTTGCAAAATTCTTTTAGTATCTTTTAGTATCTTCCTTTTCCTAGATTCCACAGGGTTTTTTTCTCCCTTTTTCACTGATTATTACATTGGTAGTGGAAATTTTTGGGTCAATTCTAGGAAGAACTGAAAACAGCAGAGCCTCGGCAACCCAACTTCACACAGGAATTATACAGAGGCTGACTGTCTTGCATTCCAAGCAAGCTACACTGTGTGATCAAGGAGGGATGATTGTCAGCCTCCCCTGATGGAGAGTTATAGTTGTGGAAGTGGCCCAGTGGAGGAAAAAAGATTATGACAGAACTAGGAAGAGAGCACTAGGCTGTTCAGCAGATGGTTCCCCACTAGCAGTAGTAGCAATTAAGGTCCCATTTCTGGCATGGGATTCTGCTTGGCAGCTCAAGCACATTAACCTAAACTTCAAAGAGCATGCTTAGCACATTGTCATGGAGAAAAGAAGTATCTGTGGCTTGGGCAGCAGTGCAGAATGCTTCAGAAGTAAGTAAGTAAGCCAGAAGGCTACTCAGACTATCTCTAGAGATGGTCAGTGATGATGTTGCTGGGCTACAGATTCTGACCCAGTTGAATGAAACTGAAGTTATATGCACTCATATCACTCACACATAAAACATGGAAATGCTCTAGACAGCAGTAACCATACAGCCCAGACTAAAGAAAAAGAACTTTATTCTTTCTTTGCCACTAATCCCATTGCCTGACTGCCTAAAAGATAAACTATGGCTTATTTTTGTAGAGATTTCTATGTAGAAGTTGAAGTTCATATGGGTGGGTTAATGTTTGTGACCTTCTAAAGAGCAGAAGATGAAATGCAGAGACAACCTCAAAGGTCTGTCCTTGCATGTGATACATGTTTAAGTTCACACATAAGTTATGTGCATGGAAAAAGTACTAGTAAATATTGTTGGTCTGCTGCTTAGAGATGTGTGTGCATTCTCTGCATGCTCTAGATTCCTGTTAATGATGAGACTGAAAATCCTTTGCAGTGAGTTTCTTTTTCAAAAGTACCATGTGCATAGCTAAACTCAACAAACTTACCATAAATGTAGTTTATTTACTTTTTTTCAGAAAGTTTTGCATTTGAAAAGCAAAAAGTAGCTCTGTTTGATTGGTTCTTGGAGTATTTGACTTTGGTGTTGCCATTGACTCATCTTGCATTATATGCATTGCATTATCTTAAGTCCTTTTATTTGTGGAGTCCTCAAAGTGCATTTAAAAATACAAAGGTCAGGGCTGGGTGGCCTGCATGTGCATCTTGTTCATGCTGTTTTGCACTGTTGGTACAATCAGAGCCAGTGTGGTTTAGTGGTTAAGCTGTTGGTCTGGCACCAGGGAAATCCAGGTTCAAGTCCACCCTCAGTCATGAAAACTCACTGACTGACTTTGGGCCAGTCACACTTTCTCTCTCAGCCCAAACAACTTCTTAAGGTTGTAGAAAATAAAAGGAGGAGGAAGTGCTATGCACACTGCCTTAAGTTCCTGAATGAAAGGCAAGATATAAATCTAATACTGTAGTGCAATTTGGTTGTAAATATATTTGAGCTTAGGTTTTTTACCTGTTTGCTGCAGTTTGTTACCAATTCAGGTGTAAAAAGTTGAGACATTTTGCTGAGGAAAAGCATTTGTATGACTTGAGTAATTTTACTACTGTGTGTGATAAAAAATGTATGCAACACACTGTACTATAGCATAGTGTCAGCTAAATTTAATTTCATTACAGATGTAAATGCTGGCAACCAGGAAAGGAGGTAATTTTGAGTTTCCCAAGTGGGGCCTCTCTCCCAGGCAACATCTAACTTGCTTGTTCAGTCTACCAGGGAAAGAGTGGAGAGACTTGGTTCATGTTCCTTACTGACTGCAAGGTTAGTTTTAGGGATACATGACCTATGTATTGTCGAGGGCTTTCACGGCCGGCATACGATGGCTGGTGTGGGTCTTCCGGGCTGTGTGGCCGTGTTCTGGAAGTTTTGTTTCCTAACGTTCTTCAACGCATATGCAAGACAGAAGCCCTTACACCCAGACTATACGGACTCCCCA